AGAAAACTCAAGTTACAAAATACTTTCATTTGCCATCCAGACTCTTCAAATTCTGTGGTAATTTATTTTTAACAAACATTTCACCTTAACCAGTATAAGTTGAATACTCTTTGGCATTCTTCCCAACTATTTTGAGCTTACTGTGAAAATATTAAATCACATTTTATTCACTGCCGTGTGGGAAGGACTTGTTTTGAAAATAATACATAGGCTATTGGTATTAATGTTTCCACATATGTGGAAATGGAGCAAGTGCATTTCAAAGAATGCCTGTTAGTTTCATGCTGTCAGTCTGTTTGCAAATAACAGCATTTAGCCTACAGGACAAATTGGGATGAAACTCAGAATAAAATACTGTATTAAATTTTGTTAAACCATTTTCATTCTGGTTTAATTTCTTTCTTGAGCCTGTGGTCCTTTCAGATTTTAAGTAAACTTGGCATCTTTCTCCTCTGCTCCATATCGCCATGTGTAAAAATCATTTGGTTCTGTTTTAAGGACTGCTTTTTGAGTATATATTTAGAGTCCTTTGACACTTCTTGATTAAACTTCTGTTTTGGAAATGTTACTATATATTAAGTTTAATTAACTTTATTCAAGACAGTTTTCTGTCATTCCTTCATAGATATGACCCACAATGTACTTAAGCACTTCAGTAACAAAGGTGTTAAAATTGATAGAAGTTATGTATAAAATATGTCATGTCTTAGTGTTGGAGCCAGTATAGTGCCGTTAGTAAGTGACTAGACTAGGCCACTCCACAGCTCAAGTGGTTAGTCACTGGCTTCCCACCGCGGCAGCCAAGGTTTGATCCAGGGTGTGGTGAAGTGGGATTTGTGGTGGACAATGTGGCGTTGGGGCGGCTTTTCTCCAAGTACTTCTGTTTCCCATGCCAATCTTCATTCCACCAAATTCTCCATCATCACAATCACCCGGGGCAAGCTACAATAGGCCAATCAGTGGCTGCTGTGCCGAGTGGACCCAGCTGGACTCCTTGCCCCACTAAGCGAATTTAATTAATTAATTTAAAGTGACTAGGCTACAGACTAGACAACAGAGGGTTCAGTTGTTGGCAGGACAAGAGATGTTCTCTTCTGGCTAGTGTCTAGACTGGCTCTGGCATCTACCTAACCTTCTGTACAACAGGTACCAGGAGTAAAGCAGAAAAAACTAATGGCACAGGAACTTCACTTTTTTTTACTTAACCTACTATGTGTATGAAGTCAAAGACATTGCCTATGCTCATTCAATTGCATAGGCATAAAAAAGGCTTTTTGAATGCTATTGAAGGTGCACGTTCCTGTTTTAAATTTATCGAAGATTTGTTCTACAAGTAGTGACTGGAGCACCTAACAATGTAGTTAAATCTGTAGCAGGTTATGTATGTATGCCCCAGAAAATCGATTTCTGCTAAAGCATGGTTTTTTGTGTCAAGATAGCTCCCTCCCTCACAGTACCAGTGTGTCAAGGCCATTGGAAATGAAACAACTGTACAAATTATTTCAGTAAAATGTGTTCATGTACTTTTTGCATTTGTATATGGCACTAACATTTCAAAAGGGGAACCTTATTTGTCATCGCCACATTTGTGCGATTTTAAATTAATTTTAATGGTATACACTGATCTACTCTGAACTTTTCCACATTATTGGACACTCCTGAATTTTTACTTTTTGTGTAATACCATAAAACGATTTTTTTTACTGTTCGTAATTTCATCTATTTGAGGCATGTCTGTTAACGAATGTATGATCTTGTTAATAGGTTAGAGCAATAGTATAGTATAGTATTTATTGCATTCAAGCAAATCCAATTACAGGCCAATACCACTGGACACAGAACAAGTCAAATATCTTCAACAAATGCTCCAACAATGGAACTAGTCAACATAAAATATACATCAACCTAAAATATACATAACACTATACCATGTTTAATTGTAAATAAAATAAGTTAAAATTGTAATAAAAACACATTACATAATAAATTCATTCAACTTAGTAGCTTATATATCTCAAACCATAAAAGATCACAACATCCATCAACTATAATGAGGTATGTTTGTTACATGGCATACCAGTCAAGTTGGAGATTATATCTTACATGTTCAATACCAAATAAAACCAGTCAAGGTATAAGCTTGCTATATACAATGCAGGTATCAGTGCAATATCCTTGAATGTACAACTGCACATCCAAACAATGCATGCAATATTGAATGAACATAGTAAATTACTACTCATTTATACAACCAAAATATTCATCCAAAGTATAAAAGGATTTTGAATGTAAAAAGGCATTTAAGGCCACTCTAAATTCCTTATCATCATGCGCTACTTCCTTTATTTTTAATGGGAGACAATTAAAAAGTTTAATTCCATAGCAATAAGGACCCTTCTGATGAACTGTTAAATTTGTCTGAGGGCAATATAAATCTAAACCGCGCCTTGTATTGAGACCATGAATCTGTGTTGATGTATGGAATAGACCCTTATTATTTACAACAAATATCAATAAAGAAAATATATATTGGGACTGGAGTGGCAAAATCCCCCAATCCCTAAATGCTTGTCTACAGGAATCCCTTGCTCTTAGCCCACTCATAATTCTAATTATTCTTTTTTGAATTCTAAAAATTTGTACACTAAACGAGGTATTGCCCCAAAAGATAATTCCATAGGTTAAAAGTGAATGAAAATAAGAATAGTAAATCATTTTTAATGTTTCAGTAGGCATGATGGGTTTAATAACCCTCAAATAACTCAAATAACTTTACATTTACATTACACAACTTAGGTATGAGTTGGGATATATGGGCCTTCCAAGTACATGTGCTTTCAACAATTATACCCAAGAACTTCACCTCGGTACTGTTTGGGATCACATTATTGCAATAATTAACCATAACTCCGGTATTAGGACAAGACTTAGCCGCAAATTGTACATGTTTAGTTTTGCTGAAGTTTAGGGTTAGCAGGTTTGACTTGAACCACTCATTAAGGCAGTCAAAAGAGATATTCACATCCCTATTATATTGTAAGTTATTATTGCTACTAATCACCAAACTAGTGTCATCTGCGAATAAGACTGGTTTAACTGTGCTATTAAAAATTGTAGAAAGATCATTTATATAGAAAAGAAATAGAAGCGGACCAAGTATGGACCCTTGAGGGACTCCATGCCTGACAATATCCCAATCTGATCTAATAGTGTTGCTCATTTCAATATCTGTTATTAGTACTCTCTGATGTCGATCTGATAAGTATGATGCAATTAAATCATAAAATCTACCTTGTATCCCATAATATTGTAGTTTACTCAACAATATTTCGTGATTCACACTATCAAACGCCTTCTTCAAGTCACAAAAAACTCCACCTACAACTTTTTGTTTATTTAATGCTTCTAGTATTTCATTGAGTAACACGTAAGAGGCTTTAGCAGTTGAGGATTGACGTCTAAATCCAAATTGCTCATTGACTATTATATTATGATCATGGATATGCTGATTTAATCTAGACAAAACTATCTTCTCAAATATTTTTGAGAAGGAGGTTAAGAGGGAGATGGGCCTATAATTAGATGGATCATTCTCGCAACCGCCCTTGTAACAAGGCTTAATTTCAGCATATTTTAGCCTATCCGGAAATACGCCAGCAGACAACATTTTATTACTAATATATGTTAAAGGAGATATAATAAAGGGGCTACTAATTTTTAACACTTCAACTGATATTTCATCATAACCATGCGATCTCTTTGTTGTTAAAGATTTAATAATTTTAAATATCTCAGTTGAGGTTGCAGCTTGATATTTTATGCTGGGAAAGGGATGATCAAAAGCTTGCCGCAAGTAATCTAATGGCTTATTGTTTGTTTCAAGACTTTTGTTTATGTTATTCTCAGCCACAGATATGAAAAAACTATTTAAGAAATCTGCTATATATTGCCTATTTTTAGTAATCCGTCCATCAACTTTTAATTCCTGAACTGAATTCACTTTGGCAAACTTCCCAGTTACTGACTTTGTTATATTCCAGATTGTTCTTATTTTGTTACTGGATTTTGATATCTGTCTACTATAATGCTTCTTTTTTGCTTCTCTTATGACATTTTTTAATATCTTGCAATACTGTCTATAATACCTCTTAAAGGCCTCATCGTTACTACTCCTGTATATCAAATATAGATCTCTTTTATGCTTACAGGAATTACTAATACCAGGAGTAATCCACAAGTTACTATTTGTTCTGGTGCTCAACACTTTCAGGGGAAAACTAGAATAGAATATTCTAAGAAATGAACTGAGAAAAGAATTATACATTAAGTTTATATCGTTGGAGCCAAAAACTGAGTCCCAGGTTTCAAGACTCAGTTTATATTCAAAATCCTGTATCATAGCCAGTTCAATTTTCCTTATCATTTTTTTCCCCTTTACCCTGCCATTCTTAGTATGCGTTTTAACCTCTAATAAAATAATTAACTGAGCATCATGGTCGGAAAGCCCATTAAGCAAGGGATATATTACATAGTTACTCTGTAGAGACGCATCAATAAATCAATGTGAACATAATGCAGTATTTAATCGCCTCGGACGTCATCACGATCCAATAAATTACCAGATCTATTGAAAATATAATACATTAGTCGAGCATGTATTTTACGTTCGTGGAAAACGTTTATTTAAGTCTTCGGCTGAATTCCGTTAACTCCTACCTCTAAAGTATAATGCACAGTATGCTACACAACACATCGAACGACTTTCATGTATCAGTGTTGCCAACGTGCCTAACGAAAGGTTAGGGTATGGTTTAGTGCGTTTTAGTGTGTATCAAAGTGAGAGTATGTTGGCTGTTCACATTTCCGATTTTGGGCGCTAACGCAAAATTCAGGTCATTGGTAATCTGCACTGAAGGTTTTCATTACGAGCGTTCTTTCAAACTTCATCCCAAGAGACCACGAGTTTAATATTCAGCTGTGTCGTTAAGGCCTTAGTAAGAACTATTAGATTGAATATGTCATAAATGCAGGAAGTAGGATGCAAATTGAACTACACTGAATTATCAGTACCCTCAGGATTACGCGAACAAAAATTAATTTTCGCCTCTTTGCGTGCCATGCACATCTATGCGTAGTGGAATAAACTATTGAAACACGTGTGATGGTCTTAATTAGGTCCTAACATTGATAATTATGTAATACTAAATATTGTGATCTGATCAAAAAAGACTTTTGTCACAGGTAGCTTGAAGCTGACGTAAGGTAGTGTGTTATCTATGAAGAAGTACGACATGCTCACTTTGTGGCCTAATCAAAATGGCGACGTGTGGTGATGAGCAGTAGTTTAGGAACATCTTTAAAACTAATGGCATTTTTGAAGCGTTTGTATCAAATTTTTTACATATTCATCAGAGAACTTTGGACTAATTGTAGTAATACCAATCAGGTCATAACGCTATAATAGTTGTCAGCTTTAACCAATGTGTTCGGAGTGCCTTACGTTTTTTGCTTATGTATGTATTTTGTGGTAGTGCATCAGCTATGGAATTGTTCTTGGCGATTATTTCCATAATTTCAGCACTTCTGCTAGTGTTGACCCTTGTGGGCTTAGGTGAGAATGGAACTTTGGGTTCACTGTGCCTCATTTGTATATCATGCATGCAGACATGGACACTTGTTTGCCAGTAGTTAGAGAAGCTTAGGATGTACGGTACAGCCTTCCATGTACACAGCTTAAAAATACTGGTTCCTTCCGTGGTTGTAACGTGAAATGATTTTTGCCGCGTGCAATATATCACGTCAGAACATTCGTATGTGTCTTATTTGTACAATGCAGTTTACTTGTTACTATACCAACTTTGTAGAAAGGTAATGTAATTGTTCTACAAGATGAATGTAATTATAAAGAATTAAGGTAGAGTAAATTTAGAAATAGTGACTTATATGTAAATTGATATTCATTCATTCTGCTCATTCACCGCCCCCCCCCCAATTGTTACAATTAAGGAAATGCCAATTAATGTGGTAATCATAGATGCTTGGCACATATAAGTGGAAACTTCTCAAAATTAGTGCCTCCCAGTTATAATGTGTCCTGATGGTAAAGCTGGAGTGAGCATATTTGCTTATGTGTCAAGGCATATGATACAATCTTTGCCAGGAAACCAACAGATTTTGTTTCAGGGTTTTACATTTACATTTATTTTCACTTCATGGATCAAATCATCTCCCTGTAGGGCTGGATATAAAACATGTCTCATATTACACATTCATAATGACTACACATCATTCGTCCTTTGTCCAATAAAATATATAATCAGGCCTCTCACAGATAGCTCAAGTTGTCAGGACAACACACATGGGTCGTGGAAAAAAACACTGTCAAATTCACGCCTTGCCATTCCACACATATTGGCAAGCTATATCATTAAAACAGTTACATTATAAAATATTAAAATTCGTAACAAAAACAAACATACATACTGTAGTACTACAGTTACAACAAGCAAGTCTCAATAATATATAATTCACGCACACAGACCATTTATTAACTCTTAACCTTTGAGCCCCTTGTATGCTCGACAAATTCATCAATAGAGTAAAATATGTTACTTTGCAAATAATTTCATAAAACAAACCTAAATTGCTTTTTATTATTTTTTTAAAACTGTGATATTTGATGGCAGAGTGTTAAATAGCTTTGACACCTGAATAATACAATACACCCCTCTCTGATAGGATGATAAATATGTTGAAGGTATGTGAAGGTGGTCAATCACATATACAGAGTTATTGGTTTGAAACTTATCCAGATTTTTAACAACAGATGTCATCAATGAATGCAAATATACACATGGGATTGGTAGTATGTCAAGCTTTTTAAATAAATCTCTACATGTATGAGTTGGGCCCATTCCCATCATTATTTTTATTATTTTCTTTTGTATAACAAAGACCTTGTGACTGTCTGATGTATTTCCCCAATATATTATTCCATATTTCACCAGTGAATGATAATATGCATAATATACAGCTTTAAGACTATTTATATTTAATATATAGGATAATTTTCGCATTAGAAAACCAACTGTGCTCAACACGTGAAGCAAAAAATCGATATGTCCCGTACAAGTCAGATGATTGTCCAGCTGCAAACTAAGAAATGTTATCGTTTCTACTTTCAGCTTTTTGTTAAAGAACAATGTATATAGAGGGTAGCTCATAGCTGCTGTTGGGGTGAATTTTATCATTTTTGTTTTATCCAGATTTAACACAAATTGATTATTTTGAAACCACGTAAACATGTGATTAAAAACAACATCCAGTTTTATTTTTAAGTTATAGTAGTCTTTAGCTGTGCAAAGAGTATTTGTGTCATCTGCAAACATAATAACTTCCGAAATTTTACTTATTTCAAGGGGGAAATCGTTTATGTATATATTAAAGAGTAAGGGTCCCAACACCGATCCCTGAGGCACACCACATCCAACAATTTCCCAGTTAGAATAATATTTATTATTTATATAATTTAATTCCACTCTTTGCCTTCCCTACTGGAGGTAAGATTTGAACCATTGCAATAATGGTTCTGGAAGTGCTCTCACCATCGTGTTAACATGGACTTGTGGCATGGGCGCCACAAGTTTTCTGGCTGCTGTACTGTATAAAATCCTGACAGCAGGTGTGATCCGCAGTCACTAGGCTATTGCAAGAGTGCAGGGAAGTGAATTTTCTTAAGGGCTGGTGGATTGAAGTCCATCTTACCAACAACCATATCAGTCATATTAATTCTGTGCTTTTAAAACAATGTTATTAAAAAGTTCATCATGATAAATCTTACTGCTCTTGGATTCAAGGTTCTTACAGTCATGATTGTGAAGGGTGCTGTGTTTTTTAATGTGAAGCTGTTTATTTTGGCAGTGTTCTGGAAGAACATTATGCCTGTATTGTCAGAGTCAAACAGTAAGCCAAGCAGCTGTTTATTTCTTGCTTGGCTCTTCAACCCTAAAGATGGAGGCAGTACACTCTTCCAGAAGACATTGATTAACTTCTACCTGATTTCATACTGTCACATCTGAGGAGAGAGCACTCTTCTTTTCACACTTGTTTCCTACTTCTTTGTACTTAATACCTTGACATGTGTAAAGTACATGTAGCAGCAAGCTTCACATATTTAGAATAACGAAATGAGAAATGTTAAGGTGAGCAGGGCATGTTGTGTACATAGGAAAATGAATAATGTGTATAAAATATTGGCCAGAATATATATGCGTTAAAGGATAATAGCTTAGGCACAGTAGTGACAGGCTATGAGCTGGATGGCTGGGGTTCGGTTCCTGCAAGGGACAAGAGATTTTTGTTGCCTCCACAGAGTCCAGACTGGCTCTGGGTTCCATCCAGCTCCCTACTGAATGGGTACTTGTTGCTCTTTCCCTCAGGTAAAGCAGCTGGGGCATGAATGCAAAGATCAGGACTGGCAGGGCTCTATACCTCCACTCCCAATACATCTTCATGGCATGGCAATTAATTAAGCAGAGGAACACCTTACCTTTACCTTATATTAAAGTGCAGCTTGGAGAAAGTGTGTGCGCGCTAGGATTCATTGGCTCCAGGTTAGGTCCAGTGGCATTCTTTTGTTCCGTAAAAGCAGGAAGCTGCTGTTATAGCCATTCAAATTAAGGTATTATAGGTAAGTTAGTACAATTGTCTCTTGCCCACTTGAGCAATAATCAGCTGTTCAAGGAAGAAGTTTAATAGATCATGGCATATAATGATTGACGCATGTAGACATTTGAGTTGGTGCCTAAGGAAATATTTCTCATCTGTTGGCATTTGTTCAGCTTGAGAAATCGCCAAAGAGATCTTGGCAGACACTGAGGTGAACCCTGAAATAATTCAACCTCTTGGTGCACTGAAGCACTTGGCAGATTGTTTGTACATAATGCAGTTTTCAAGTGCACACATGGTTGCCAGATTTTTATTTCAGAATACAGGATAACCCATTTTGAATGGACAGTATTAGCCATCTAGCAGAAATACATTAAAGTTCAACATCTCTAATGCAGAGTCCACCCTTGGACAAAATCTTGATCCAGTTCCATCAAATTCATGCCATTCAAATCCATGTCTTTAAGATTAATTTTAAAATCCTACTCTTATCTCTTTTTTGATCTTCAAGGTGTCATTTGCAAGATTTTTCATAATTCTGCATGCATTTAAATTTTTACTGTTCAATTCAGGAAGGTCCATTTTTCAAGTTGACTTTTCAGGGACAGTCAGATATGGGACATTCATTTGTCATGGCATACATTTCAGGAGGAACAGGATGGAACAACACACCATAGACCAACAGCATACAGTTCAACAAGTGAGCAAATCACAATGGAATAACGAAAATTACAATTGCTTAACACCCAGTTGCCATACAATTTTTCAGGATTGTTACCTGCTTTTTCTATATGGATAATTGATATGGTGGAGCCTAAATCATGTATGGAAGAAACAACGATGTGTACGAGGTCATAGCTGAAATTTAAAGGCAAAGTTATCCCTCAGCTTAGTTAATTAAGTTCAACACCATAAAGACATATAGGGGAGTGGAAGTATAGGTCCACCTCACTTAACCTTGGTACTAGATGGAGGTGAGCGGCTTTACACACGCACAAGGGAAGCAGCCCCAATACCTGTTGCATCAGAGACTGGGTGGGTCCCAGAGCTGGGCTGGACATTATGGAGAAGAGGAAAAAATTTTGTAAGGGGGAAAAAACACTATGGTGAGAGAATGATTCATTGATACTTGAATTATTTAGAAGTATTTGGAAACATTTTTTTAATTCATAAATGTGAATGATCAACAACCGCCTCTGTGGTCTAGTGGTCAGAGTTCCTGGGTTCGATTCCCGGCGCTACCAGATTTTCTGAGTAGTAGTGGGTCTGGAACGGGGTCCACTCAGCCTCATGAGGATAATTAAGGAGTTATTTCAAGGAAATAGCAGCTCCGGTCTAGAAAATGGAGATTAACGGCCATGGGGATCTGTTGCGCTGGCCACATGACACCTGCTATCTGCTAAAGTCAGCACTAACTTTGCCGAAAAGTGGCGGTTGCTAGGTCAGTATAGTTAGATTGCAGACTACAGGCCACAGAGTTCATTTTGTTTGAATGATGAATTCAAAGTGATTTGGAAGGAAGTTGTTGTTGCCTGTTTTAAGGTATTACCCTAGTAGCATTTACATGGAGGGATTGAGAAAACATTAAAACTGTCAGAATAGGAAACATTAATGCTACCCTTTCAGCTACAGAATTGAATAATTAGATCAAAATGATCTTACAAAAACAGATGTGAACTGATCTGGTGGTTTAGGATAGAGCCTGTTAGAAGGCTTGTGTCATAACAGTGATGAACATTTTGGTTCTGAACTGTCAGCTGCTCAAGAAAGACCCAGTACCAAGTAGACACTGACTGTATGGGACTCTTATTTCACAGTGTTGAGATTTGTATCCTCTTCTGTTTTGTAGGCTGGTACCTGGTTTGGAGATTTTTCCTGTCCCAGTTCCGATTTGTTCGTGAGCTTTTGGGTGGAATGACAGAATCCACATCCGTTAATGACTTAAAGAACAGCCGTTCACGAATAAAGAAGACACGTCGTGAATAAAAGCCCATGTTTAATTATAAGTTGAAACATTCCTGTTCTAGATTATTTTATTTTGACAGAAGACTGCTATATTTTGTTACAGTACTTGAAAATTTTAAACAGTTGGCATACAGTGTGGACATTGAAGATGAATATCAGATGTGCAAAGCCTGACGATCTCATAAATATGCAACATTGTAACTTACTGTGTTTGCCAGAAAATTACCAGATGAAATATTATTTTTATCATGGATTATCATGGCCACAGTTAAGTTATGTCGCTGAAGATGAAAAAGGTCAGATTGTTGGCTATGTGCTTGCCAAGATGGAAGAAGACAGTGAAGATAACCCACATGGGCACATCACATCTCTTGCTGTGAAGCGCTCACATCGAAGGCTTGGACTGGCACAGAAACTTATGAACCAGGCTTCGAGGGCAATGGTAGAATGTTTCAAAGCAAAGTATGTTTCACTTCATGTGCGTAAAAGCAATCGAGCCGCCCTAAACCTGTATACAACAACATTAAAATTTACAGTCTCTGAAATTGAGCCCAAATACTATGCAGATGGAGAAGATGCATACGCAATGAAGAGGGACCTAACACCCCTTGCAGCACAGAACAGTACTGTTACAGATGTTGATTTGGTTTCATCACAATATGTTGCTGAGGGTGGTATTATTACTGAAAGGCTGTAAGTTCAGTAGCTGTTAAGTGACTGAAAACTAGTGATTCCAGTCTTAATGTAAAATATGTAATAGACTGTTGTGTACTGTTGCAATCTACTGTGGCCAGACTTTCAGTCACACTGAATTTGAGATGAAAACTGCATGAGAAGGGAATAGCTAATATTGTTAATGGCATTTGTAAACATCTTGGAAACATAAAAACTGTAAATTTATAAGCAGTGTTCAGATGTTGTGCAATACCATTTTATTATAATGTGACATTTTATAACAATCCAAATATATTACTCATGATTGTATAGTTTTGTTCATTTTTGTTTTAAATGGTTCCTCACATACTCAGAAAGTTTCTGTGGGTATGATTCCTCCTATACTCAAGTTTTTGCAACATATTTTCTGTATTAAGACTTAGAAAAATGAATTTGAATGTGTTTGTGCTTCGAGGGTTCATTTGGTGAAATAAAAATTGTGTGCGCCTCAAACCTGTACAGTGTTACATCCCATTCACACCTGAGCAGTTATGAACAGAGAGACATAATCCATACTGGAATACACAGTTTCCATGTGCATTTCTTGTGCCCTTACATCCTAAATGCACCTTACTTACTTACTTACTTACTCACTCATGGATCTGAACCCTTCTGGAGTAGCTGCCAATTCTGCAGCTACTCAAGCATTTCCCAGCATTTTATGGAACCCGAAGGTTCATTACTGTGTTCACAAGAGCCCTCCACTGGTCCCTATCCTGGACCAGCTCTATCCAATCCATACCATCCCATCCTATCTTTCTGAGATCCATTTTAATATTGTTCACCCACCTATGCCTTGGTCTTTCCTGTGGTCTCTTTCCTTCTGGCTTTCCCACCAATATCCTATACGCATTCCTCGTCTCCCCCATTCGTACTACATGACCTGCCCACCTCATCCTCTTTGACTTGATCATTCTAATTATACTTGGAAAAGAGTACAAGTTATGAAGCTCCTCATTATGCAGTTTTCTCGAACTTCCTGTCACTTCATCTCTCTTTGGTCCAAATATTCTCCTCAACACCCTGTTCTCAAACACCCTCAGTCTATGTTCCTCCCTTAATGTCAGAGACCAAGTTTCACACCCATACAGAACCACAGGCAGAATTATAGTTCTGAATTGAATGGTAGCAAACATTACCCAAGTTCAGTCGCCTCTTAATTTCCTCCTGAATCAAGTTTTGATCATTCCCAAATATCCGAACTGTGCCACATTTTCAAAATATCTGTTTCCTATCTTTATGTCATGATTTTGCCCTGCATTTTGGTGACAAGACAGTAACATATACTTAGTTTTCTCTGTGTTTACTTCTAGACCAACCTCTTTACTTGCATCAGTTAAAGATTGTTTCTCTTTATGGTATCTACATTATCCCCCAGTAGATTCACATCATCAGCATAGGTCAACAGCTGATGTGTCCCGTTTAATTTCAGTCCCACCTGGTTTCCCTGGACCTTCCTAATGGCATATTCTAAAGCAAAGTTGAAAAGGAGTGGCAATAAAGTGACCCCTGAATAATTCATTCAGTGTCTCCCTTCGTGTTTGAGTATACTGCCAGTTAGGCAGCTTAATCATGCTGACCTTGTTGGTCGCCTGTTTTGCCATGATTCTGATGAGTCTGGCACCGTCTAGTACATCACTGATCTCCTGGCAGTGCCTCCTCCATGAGGATTGCTTGACTTTCCTTACTTCTTTGTTGAACAAGTAAGGGATTCCTTGTAGGTGTCCCACTGCCCTGTTGTTTAGCTGTATTGAACAGCCTTCTCGTTTTGGTTCTAAGCCCACTCAGCTGTTTATTCCTCCAAGGCACTCTCCTTGGTTCACGAGTGGTCCTAGCTGGACAATTCCTATTAAAGGATAAGATAATAGCCCATTGCAACTGGTCAACAGACCGATCAACAGCCTTTATTGTGCGTATATTTTGCGAGATGGTCTCCACATTTACCTTTAGGTCGTCTTTGTAAGACTCCCAATTGGTTCTCTTAGGATCTACTGTAATGCTGCTTATTTGAAAGCACATATATCGGTGATCCGATAGGGAGGGCTCATCAGATACATGCCAATTACTGATCAGGTTTCCTATTTTATTGGTCCCTAGTGTCAAGTTGATAACCTCCTGCCTATTGCAAACCACAAAGGTAGGCTCGTTACCTCGGTTCCATGAGGCATTCTCCTCTTGGGTTGATGTCAGTGCTTTCCCACAGTGTGTGGTAAGCATTGGCATCACACCCAATAATGAGCTGCTCTTTCCTAAGATGGCAATATTCAATGATGTTCCTCACTTCTTTGGAAGGTGGTGGTTCATCCGAGTCATATGGAAGGTAGGCTGAAGTGACAATGAGTTCCTCACAGCCTCTGCCCAGTGCATATGTCATCCTCACCATTGTTGTGTCTCTGGAATAGAACTCAAGCAAGGGTAAAGCATTAATATGATTATTAACATATATGCATGATCTCACATTTTCTTCAGGTGCCACAGAGTAGACTGTTCCCCCTGAATTCGTTAAGCCTCTTATTTGGCCCCTATATATCCAAGGTTCCTAAATAAGTGCTACATCTACGTTTCCTTCAGCAAGTTGTCAACATAAGATTGCTGTAGCAGCCTTGCTGTGGTGTAGATTAGTCTGAATGAATCGTATTTTATGTGTAAATGTCGTGTGTATGTATGCTGTGTGTTCATTCTGTAATGCTGGGAAAGGTGTCCTAAATACCTTCTTCCACAGCCCTGTTTACTTTATCAGACCTGGTTTCTTCCATAGAAGGTCCCTGATCTGGTACGGTCTGGTTGGTGAGAGGAGGGATTGTCTCCTCCTCATCAGATATTCTCTTCTGGTCAACTGACAAAGTGGATAGATCATCCCATTCCCCCTCAGAGACCAGGTTGGACGATGCTGTATCTGCATCACAAAACAATATGTGTAAACATACATGACTGCTGCCAGATGGAAAATTGTGAGAAATGGCTAAGTAAAGGGTTATAAGGAGAGGTGAGTTGTATCTCACTGCTTTGAATGTGCTAAGTTTATTCTTGACATAAGGATTAAGTCAAATGAAATTGGAATTGGAGAAATATAACACTATCACTGCAGCAGTTCAATAAAATGAATGGAAAAATGAGGGAATAACAGATGTTGGGTACTCTACTACATTTTATAGTAAAAGTATGGATAATAATACATCTAACATACCATTCATATCAATCGCTAATGAAAAGGCTGAAACTTGGGTTAAAATATCAGAATATCTGCACAGTATTTCAGAACCAGTGCATGGCAGGTGAAGCCATTCACGTGTGTTGGGTGGTGTACATGAGGCGCTCTACCAAAAAGTGGGTCAGACACAGGAGGCAGACATGGAAGGTGGGCTCCCAGACAGGTGTGACTGACTTGCATCCAGTTAGGATGGCCTCATCAAGACATGAGACAAGACATGCACCAGTGATTCACCTCCCTTAACTTGTTGTCTGGGTATTTTCCCAGACCAAACAGACTTACAAACAAACAAACTCCATGGTGTTAGTCCACACTTGAACTATACTGACCAAGCAACCACCACTTTTCGGTGAAGTTAGTGCCAACTCTAGTGGATAGAGAGTGTCGCGAGGTCAGTGCGACAAATCCCTACGGCCGTTAATTTCGGTTTTCTAGACCTATTTCCTCAAAATAGATCCTCCATT